ATTCATAAACTATCTTAGTTACAAAGCAGGTTATTTATTGACCTGCTACAATTGGCATGGATCGAACTCATTAACACAGGAATTAAAAATTTATTGCTTACTATCGCTTTATGAAATATGCCCTGCCATTCTTATTACGTGACTGCCTAAGGAATAAAAAGCCAAATTTAAAAGTTCATTGAAATAATTCCATTTTTTTCAAATAAACGGAGTATTCGTTTACCTGGAGCATGCTGTAGCGAACAAAGAAATGAGTCACGGAGCTAAAAAGAAAAAATCCATTTTTTAAAAATTTCTGCTAAACAGCTGTCGGTGTTTGAAAGTATACTTTCAGCAGTTTTATCATTAGACATTCATGAGAACTCCTACACGAGGTAGTAAAGGAAAGCTTGAAGAATGGACTAACCGTCAGTTGTAAAAAAAAGAACAAACAAAAAACAGAATGCATGATTGTAAGCAAGAGCAACAGCCCAGGACAGGAGCTGCCAACTGTACATATCAAAAGTTAGTATTTGACTAGCAAATGCGTTCCAAAAGTTAAACAATGTATTAAGAAACAGGAAATGCTTATTAGAAACAAAGAAAATCGTGCTGAAGTGCTAGTAGCCTCAGTCGTCCAATATGACAGTGAATGTTCGACAATTTCTTTATAGATGAAGAGACTTGAAGCAAAAGAGATGTGCTTCTACAGAATGCTGTAAATAACAAATCTATAAATCAACCATCCATCCTTGCATGGAATATTGCTGTCATATACAGACTGGTGCTCCCGCTGTACGTCTCGGGGTCCTCGACATAATCCAGAGACGAATATGCAATGTGATCATCATTATCATCTTGCAGCCTCAGCCGAGATTGAACTCAATACACCTCTCCAGTATTCCCTATCTGTCTTAGCACCTAAAAGATCTTTCTTAGGGATCAATGTGTCTCGTTTTATCCTATCTGGAAAGGTTAACTTGCGTGATTGTTTGTCAGATGATGGGTGCCTCCAGAGTACAAATGATGACACAAGTTCATCTGTGGCAAGTGCACAATGCCCGGCGAACTGGACACGTCTCTTACAAACTAAAGTTGATACTCTTGGCAAGTCACCATATATCATTTCTAGAGTTGGGTGGTTTTACTCTTGGCAAGTCACCAGATATCATTTCTAGAGTTGGGTGAGAGATTAAGCACTCTTCTTAAAAGACGTGTATAACATCCATCTAAACGACGCTGTTGTTTTGCTGAGAGAGTCCAAGTTTCAGAGCCATAGAGTAAGATTGGCTCAATAAGTACGCGGAAAAGTTGGATTTTGAATTGACGAGCAAGATTGGATTTCCAGATCTTATCCATTTTGTTACAAGCAGTCCATGCTATACCTTTTCTAATGTTGAAGTCTTGATGCAATGTGATAGGTCCTGATCTGGCATCTAGTCTACGATCGTTTTCCCACAGACGTGCCGTGGCTTCCCTCAGTCTCTTCTACAAGTATTCTCACGGCAACTGTTCTGACGTGCTAATTTCGCTGGTTCCCAGACTGCATGAATTTAACCGAGGTACCAGGCTGGCACCTCGGTTCTACACTTTCTCTGTCAAAACGGTTAAATGTAATCGTCTATTCTACCCAAACAGATTCTTCACTCACACTTCCCGTCTGTGGAATTCCCTTCCCTTTACTTGCTTCCCCGATGACTATAATTTTCAAGTGTAATGTCAATCGACATCTGACATCCTGAGCTTTTTCCCCGTCCTTCTCTGTATCCTTTCCCCAAATATACCTCTTTATTCTTGTTCTCAATCCTCTGTAACCCCTTTCGTGCTAGTGGCACTCCCGCCTGGCTTGGGGTGAACTGCTTTTTTTAAAAAAGTAAAAAACGAGAAAGTTTCAAAAAACGAGAAAGTTTCAAGGAAAAAGGAAACAAAAGCGACACTAATACTCAGAATCAGAAAGATAATTGAAATGCTTGAATATCGAGTTCGATCTTCACTGGGTGCCCCTATACTTTCGATCTTTTGTCGCATTTAAGATATGCTTAGAAAATCATTTAGGGCACTTCGACGTGTTGCAATGCATAGCAAAGCATGCATTGCAACAATTACGACGGAGTAGTGAGTTCAATTACGACGGAGTAGTGAGTTCGAGCCTTACTGGGTTCTCCAAACTTTCGGCCTTGTGCCATATCTATGCTTAAAAGATTCTTTGGGTATGATGACGTGAATCTTGTCTCGCTAGAACATTTACGACTGAGTAATGAGTTCGAGCATTACTGGGTTCTCCACACTTTCGGCCTTGTGCCACATCTAATCTACGCTTGGAAAATCCCCATAACTACTAATGCTAATTGAAGTGAGAGGGTACAAATGAAAAGACTCAAAATCGACAAGATTTTCCATTTCTCTGATGCAGACGTCCATCCTGAGTATGACGATAAACTACACCCGCGTCCTGGGTTAGACGATAAACTACATTCAAAAGTAAGGCCTCTGATCAGGAAGTTTAGAGAAGCGTGGAACCACCTTTTTTTGTTCCCAGGTCCACCGTTTAGGGTCCCAGTTATGGGTAAATAGTTAACTCCCAAACTGGGGTTAAAACATGGTGAAAATGTAAATTTGTTTTAATACCAGAAATACTTTGTAAAAAATTATTACCAGCAATACATTTTTGAAAACAAAAGATATTTCCAGCTAGACATTTCTGAAAAAAAATTATCTGCTATACTTTTTTGAAAAAAAATATTAACAGCACTTAAAATTTTGTCGGCATTAAATAATCCATTGAGATTGATATGCCGTAAACCAAACCAAACCAAACCAATCTGATGCAGACGTTAAAAACATGAAGACGTTATCACCTGCTCTGTCTGCCTGTTCTCACGTCTTTATTTCGTTCACTGACATGAAAGAGAGTCTCTGATATGTCTTTTTCGTCTTTCCTCCTGGTCAAAACGGAACGGTCCATTATTTTTTAGGTAGTGGCAGAGCGTAATATACGTACTAAGTAAGGAACGAACAGACCTATAGTATGGACTTCAAGAAGCTTTCATTTAAATGGAAAGACCGGTATTCTTCTTCTGTACGACGTGTCGCTTCAGGACGTGGGTGATCATTACTCTCCACAACATCCTATCCTTTGAGGATCTTAAAACATTTGTCCCTTTGTCAAGCTTTCTCCAACACTCCCGTTCCGCCAACTATTCATACAAACTTATCAAATAGGTAACTTGCAGCCTTTCCTTGTCTCTTTTGCCTTCAATATATCTTATGAGCGTCAAATTCTCGAAGCCGTCTTTCCTCAGTTTGTGTCAAGAACTTTCAAATGCATATTGAGGGAAAAGGGTTTCGCTTTCTGATTCTGATTCGATGTGTCTTTTTTTGTTTCTATTTTCTTCAAAACTTTGTTGTTTACGCGCACCGTCCATGGTATTCTCAGTATCCTTCCGTAGAACCACATCTCTATTGCCTCTAGTTTTTTCTTAATTTGTAAGGTGGTTGAGATTATTTAAGATCGAACACTGGCTCTTGTTGCCGTGGTACTAAAAGCATGTTTGAAAGAATAAAATTGTTAGTCATAATATGAAAAGACATATTTTCCCGCCAAAATCTATCTTACATATCTATAAGTCTACCTTTCGTCCATACATTGAACATTGCTGTCACATCTGGTCTGGTGCTGCTGTTGCTATATATTTAGAGGAATCTGCAATGTCATCCTTCGTGACCTGGCATCTCGGCTTTATTCATTTTCCCAACTCAATTGTCTGTCACTTGGAATGCAAAGTCTCTCTATCATAGGACCGTGTACTGTTGTGTGTCATATGTCAGGCAACGCTGTAATGGCAGGCTCATTTTTTAATCATTTCACTTTAAGCAAGGCGACAATGCCTCTAACATGCAAGGGCTTACTGAGTGTGAAGAAATATGAGAAAAAAAATAGAAAATATTATTAAAATAGAGAACAATAAAAGAAAAGAATTAAGACAAAAGATAGCGATTGACATTGCATTTAAATTTTTGAACATTAAATTTGGCTATAGACCATGGAGCCGGAAGGGAATGCCATAAGCGGCAAGGCCCCCCAAAAAAAAAAAAAACTGTTAGCATAGAATTTACGGTTACATCTAGCCAGCTCGAATGTAAATTGATGAGATCTCGACGCTAGTTTAGTACTAAGCTTAATTTTTTTTAAATTCTAGGTACCATAGCGGATATCTCATCCGAACAATTACCATGAAATTATTTATAGAAAAGACACAGGGCGGCAACTTTACGGCGCTGGGAAATTAACTGGAGCTGAGTCGCCAGATCAGGACCAATAATATTGCTGATTCTTCTTTGGATTTTATCAAAAAGCCCTAGCAGAAGCAAATGTAGCAACAATATTCAAAACATGGACGAATGGTAGACTTATCGATATATATTATAGATTCTGTAAATAAAAATTGTCTCGGACTACACAGTGAATTACACTTTATATAAGTTAAAGATGCACCTGCATATGCACAGAGACAATATATATGCGTGGTTGTGTTCATTGTATTTCGGAAAACAATTTAAGCAAGGGTTATACGAATCATAAACTTAATTAAGGTGGAATAATTTATTTTGTAATGTTAATCGTTTGACACAGGTGTTTTTTTCCTTTCCTTGTAGTTTAGTTTTAATAAACAAGTTGCCTTTGATATTTCTAGTTGCCTCGCATATATTTTTTTTATTTCTTAAAACTTTAACATTTGGAGTACAATGTCATTTTGCCGAAATAATAATTCATTCTATGTTGACTGCATCATTCTTTCAACTTTTTTAAAAATCCAGTTATCTTTGATGATTTGTAGAATTAAATTAAACATTTGAAGTTGTTGAAAGCAGAAGGATTTTCTATTGTTGCTTTCCCTGTTCTGGATACATATGCCAATATCTACAAGAACATCCCCCCCCCAGCCACTAGAAAATAGAATTAGCAAATTAATCGCGTAGATTAACGTCAGTTCACTGAGTTCAATCCTTACTGTGGCCCAATGTCAGACGATGATATTAAAAGTAACATTTCACTTCAACTTATATAGCTATTTGAACCCTGTACACGCCCCCTCGAGTAGTATAAGGCCACAGTCTCTCCAAGCTAGGGACACAGCTTCAATACACTAGCCGTTGCTGTTGTGGTTACCGTAGACATTAGTTTTTGATGGGTTGAAGTTGCTAGTCGCACACCCAACCGACCTTGAACATTTATATGTGGATATAACAGCTTACGAATTTCTGATGAAATAATCTCATTATTTTTTTAAAAGTTTGACTCGCTTTAAGAACGTCTATTGGTGAGAATTTTTTGGTGGCTTTACTGTCTTCGATGGGATGAAAGGAAATATCAAAGATGGGAAGTGGAGCAGTTGGAGTTCACTTTGTCCAAAGTGAATATTTGGCCTATTAGTCTGTCGTGTAGAGACGTCAGAAGTAACAGCAATGTGGCTACCTACGTATCTACGCACACCTTCCAATACTGCCATACTGCCCTGTCTTTCACAGATTTTGTTCACACCAACGCAAAGGGGAATCGAAACACAATGTGGGCAAATCTGTCTAGGCCAGCCATGTCCAAAGTCCGACTCGAGGGTGCCATCCTTTGTCATAGAATGTATCACTTATAGTCTACCAGTATTGTCAATCAGAGTATGTAAAGTACACACCTAAGAGATGCAATTTCATGTTTTACCAAAAGATAGCAGCAGCACAATGTGACCGCCTCCTGGCGGTGTGAAACTGACAATGGCCTTTTCCAACTAATTTTCTAAAATCACTGCCTTTGAACCAGACCTGGCTTACATACTGCAGTCCAGATCTCAGTATCACCCTTCACATGAGTGAAGGTATGTTATTTGTTTTGGTCATCTGAGATAAATGAATTTTAAAATGTTAGTGAATTAAATTTGTTTTGTGTTGGTCAAAATCAGTTATAAATCTATTTGGACCCTTGGACTTGTGTATCTTTATGTTTTCTACTTCTTAATAAAGCTTGCCTCCGGGGTAAGTAACAGTCTAACTCTCTGCTTTCGGGCGGAGAGGAACCCGGACGAGGCACCGCCGAAGGGCAGAGTCTCGTTAGGGGTGGTTGACTGCCCCTGAACCCGTTATATGCGGGTTCAAAGAGGGAATATTTTTGACCGAGCCTACGGGTTCGGAAATCCCACGTTAAACCCGGCCTTGTGCCATATGTAACCCTCGTGGGGGGGGTAGGTAAATATTACTTCTTAATAAAATGAATGTTGGTTTTATGTTCTTATTCATATGTTTTTAACTTAAAACTTGACAAACAACATTAATTATCAATAATATGTAATGTTTAAGATTAACCTGAGATATTTTATAGCTTTCTGGAAGTTCCTTTTTTTCTCAGACATATTTTACTTCATCTTATATGGACTTCAGTTATAACAGACTGAGTGATTTTGGCAAGACCTGTTTAAATTTGTCAGCCATGTAAAGAAATGGAAATATGCTATTTGAAATAAAATGTTCATAAGATATTTCATTTGCATTTCATTTTAACGTTTCAAAGAATGCCAAGCAGAATGGTTGTCCCTCAAACACATTCACCTCATCAAATCTGGCCCTATTTGAAAAAAGTTTGGACACCCCTGGTCTAAGTGGTGAAAGACTGACCGAAGGGGCGCGTGTTCATGTTCACAAACTTCGTTGTGTTTCTATCAATAATTTTATTTACAAAGATTTCATCGAACTGAAATTTTTGTAATATGTTTCCATAAATAAAAATAATTATTCTTTCTCAAAATTGGTTCAAGACTTTTTTTAAGCCAACAATCTTCTTCTAACTCAGTGGTTCGTTACCTTTTTTACCCATGGACTATTTTTACTCATAATCTTTCGGTGGTCCCCATAACAATTCAATAAAAAAGAAGCTTATTTATTTTTTACTAATAGATAAGTTTAGGAATTGTATTATAGTAAATGTACCTGCTTTATTTGTAAATAAAATTCATTTAATGAAAATAAACTTGTATTGAACAACTAAAGTCTATGGAACATTTACGTACACTAGTAAACTAACTAATAATAATCTATTCTAAAAAGGACCCTAGTAAGATTACATAATTCTTCAAGATCTATATGGCCCCCGGTTGAGAACGTCTGTTCTAACTGATTGTTTCAGACTAACATCTTTTTGTTTTTTATAGCCATTGTTAGTTTTTAACCCAATTTTTTTCAATTTTTCTAACTAGTTTTTTAGTTTCTTTGCTCCTTTATCATTTTCTTTTTTATTTGAAGCTTCCTTTCATATAATTTGCCGACTTTTACCCATCGTCTGCGTCTCCTTGTTTCGTCTCTCTGACTTTCGTCTGCTTTCCTTCATTTACAACAGAAGGTCACAATTTGGTCTTAATTCTCGTCCGGATTTCGCTACTTTCCTCTTCGTGAAACATTGTCACTTTCTTTTTTTTTTTTTTTTACATTTTCTTTCTGCAAATCTTTAATTTATTCTTTTAAGATTCACCAATCATAGACTTTTTTTTTATTTCATTGTTTCTTTTCTTATGGACGACACTTATTTCATTTCTTTCATTCATCCTCTTCTCTCGTTTCACCTGACTAATTATTTCCTTCCTTGCTTCTTATTTTACTTTATTTTTCTCTTCCTGTTCCCCTTTTTCTCTTTCTCCTTTTATCCTATTTTTCTCTTTCTTTTCGACATTTTTCTTTTCACTTGGACTTTTCTTTTATTCAGTCCCCTTTCCTTTTCCTTTTTTCCTCTTCTTTCTTTCTTTCTTTCTTTCTTTCTTTTCTTCTTTATTTCTTTTTTTCTTTCCTTTTCTTTTTCCTCTTCTTTCTTTCTTTCTTTCTTTCTCCTTTCCTTTCCTTTTTCATCTTCTTTTTTTCTTTCTTCCTTTCTTTCTTTTTCCTTTCTTTCTTTCTTTCTTTCTTTCTTTCTTTCTTTCTCCTTTCCTTTTCCTTTTTCCTCTTATTTCTTTCTTTCTTTCTTTCTTTCTTTCTTTCTTTCTTTCTTTCTCCTTTCCTTTTCCTTTTTCCTCTTATTTCTTTCTTTCTTTCTTTCTTTCTTTCTTTCTTTTTTCTTCTTTCTTTCTTTCTTTCTTTTCTTTCTTTCTTTCTTTCTTTCTTTTTATTCTTTCTCTCTTTCTTTCTTTCTTTCTTTCTACCTCCATTTTCTTTCTGGCTTTTCCCCCTCCCCTTTCCTATTCTTTTTCCTCTTCTTTCTTTCTTTCCTTTTCCTCTTCTTTCTTTCTTTCTTTCTTTCTTTCTTTCTTTCTTTCTTTTACTCCTTCCTTTTTTCCTCCACTTTGTTACTTTCGGTCTTTCTTCCTTTCTTTCTTTCTTTTTGAGCTGGGAATTATTTCTCACGGATTAATGCACCAGACACTAATTACCAACACGGCTCATATTTTCGACAAAAGCAAGTAACTTCATTTTTTTTCTTTTTTTTTTGCTTGAATAATCTTTTTTCACTGACACAAAAAACAAGAAAAAGAAGGAAAAAATGACATCAAGGCATTCAACAAATGCTTTTCACACCTTCCATTTCAGTGGCTGGAGATTCTATAATGCCAATGGAAGCTCTTCGAGCAGAAGGCAAATTGGAAAAGAAAAAAATGCTGTCATTAATTGACTGCGCCAAACAAAACCAATTCATGATGTTACCCAACTGACTGACTTTTTATGGATCAAGTGTTTTAACATTGTAAGATGAACTGACAAGGCCGGCAGCATTTTTTTTAAATGCAATACAAGATTCCCACTACTACATTGGACGACACTTTCTTTATTTTAGTAGGCTGGAACTTCTTTCGCAAAATAAAAAAAAATATGTTCTCTGACATTGTCTTAGATAACTTGGGACTTGCTAATTATCGATTCCTACAAAGAAACCGTTTCTTTATTCGCCGCGAAATGTTTAGTGGAAAAAACCCCTTTTTTTTAAAAAAAAGAATTATTAAATTTTTACCTTTAAATTTGTTTCGAGAGGGAAGTATTTGACATAAAATTGTCCAAACACAAGAAAAAGGAGATATCTTCAAGGATATTCGAAAATTTTAATTTTCGGTTAAAGAAACAGAATTCGTATCTCATGAAGGACATAAGAAGGAACATGATCGAGAAGCTTCAATCGAAATAACATTTTTCAACCTATTACTGCTAATAATGCAAGACTCTTCGGTAAAGCGAATCGAGTTCTCTCAGTCAGTGTGTATTTATTTAAAAATAAATACCCTTAAATTCGCCTTCATTCTTGCCGTGCACCAACAGCTTCGTGATAGCATATCTGACAATTCAGCCGGGTTTCGATCCTAGCTAGAGGCAACCGGACGTCTAGCCACACTGATGAGCTGTGATACAGCGAAACAGTCTGTCTGTGGATGACAATATATATATATATATATATATATATATATATATATATATATTTGGTTGGATAGATGTGAATTTGTGATCCTGGGTTTCACGCTTTAGCGATCGTCAGACAAACTGATTAATTTTTTAAAAAATTTGGGTTTATGTAGATTGCGTGTATTGGTGTTATTGTGGAAGTGGTGGGGGAAACTTCGTCGCTTATGTCATCGTACTAACGCAAACATTGATGTATGCAGACACATATACATACTTGGTCGTGCGTCGGGACTCATACATATATAAACATATGTGGGCAGTTTCGGATATGACATATGTATGTATACGGGTGGTGTTGTGTCTATACATACGCATTTTCACACACACACACACACACACACACACACACACACACACATATACATATATATATATATATATATATATATATATATATATATATATATATATATATAAACCTTAAAGTGGTCTGTTTTTATTCAAACATACCTGCTCTGAATTTTACATTGAGCTCACCGGATATAATCCTCCTTGGGTCTACCCAGTTGGATTACCTAGTTTTGCATAAACTATATATATATATATATATATATATATATATATATATATATATATATATATATATATATATATATCCTGAGGGCGTGTATTTGGTGTATCAAGCGAAAAAAGTTAATTGTCGTGAGTAGTTCATTTAGTGCAATATTATATTTAAATTTGATAGGCCAAATCCCAAACGCAGGAAATCCTATGTTTACCTATATATATATATATATATATATATATATATATATATATATATATCATTGTGAATAAGTTCCAGAATGATCCTGGAATTCTTTGACTCTTTTTGTAGTATTTCTTCCCTCATTTTTTTCTCTTTTATTTTATTTTGTTTTATTTTTATTGCTTTGTATGAGTTTTTTCAATTCCCTTTTTAATATTATCATTATCTTTATTTTTAGTATTATTTTTTCAGTTTATTTTTCCGCACCCTCCATTATCTAACAATGATTTTTCTAAAAGAATTCTTTACTCTTTTTTATGCTATATTTCCCCCCACCTCTCTCTCTCTCTTTTTCTCTTTCATTTTACTTTGGGTGACAATCTAGTTATGTTTCCACACTGATCCTTACTCGCAAAAAATACGATCTTTCAACACTAATACCTCTCGTCCTATCACACTTTTTTTTCTCAATGTTCAACATCTCACACCTCTACCACCCACCACGAATCACAATTTTTAAATCTGAGGTTATTTTCACATTAAGTTTCGCACGCGAGAAATCAAACAGGGAAGGGATTTTTTCTAATAATTCCACCTACAAGCGGATTCTATCCACCTCAAAAAACTAAAGTTAGATAGTTTCCACCGTCACTCTGTTTGAAGATGATGAAGAACACAGGCGTGTTCGAAAATTCCGAACTTGAAACGTCAATCTCTGTCTTTCACTTTTGTCACCTGGTAAATATTAACAGATGTTTTTCGTACTGATTTTTTCGGTGCCATTTTCTTTGTCTTTGTTTTATTGACCACCTATATCTACTATACTATATATATATATATATATATATATATATATATATATATATATATATATGACGATGAAGGCAGACAACCACTTGCTGGCCCATGTGAGTATAGTTTTCGCTCTAGCAGAAACCCATTTACATTTTTCTTTTTTTTTTTGTTCTTTTTTGTTCTTTTTTCGTTTTAATTTTTTCTATTCCCCCCGCACTCAAAGGCATTTTGTCCCAATGATTCTCCTTATTTGATAGTTTAGTAAGAAATCCCAGTTCGAAAGTTAAAAGAAAAAAAAGAAAAAAAGGAAGAATGGAAAATTAAATGTCTTTGACTAGATGCGAGGGTGTCTCGTCAGTATTCTAACGATGTTGTGACAGCATCTTTTTTTGCTTGATATATTGTCTGAAATCGCTCCATCTCCTCTTTCTAAATCTTATTGAAAGCATATCTCCCAAGCCCAGTACTTGGTGAGGGCTGAGGAATGACCGTTGAAATGCTTAAAATATATATATATATATATATATATATATATATATATATGTGTGTGTGTGTGTGTGTGTGTGTGTGTGTGAACTTCAGTTCAATCCTTCATGACCTTCCCATTCTTAGCTATAATTAATTAATGATGAACGTGTCATTTTCGTTGATGATCGATTTTATCATTATTCTTCTGTAAAGCTTTGACAATAGTTACCCATTCTTATTGCTCAAAGAAAAATCGCCTTCTGTCTTACTTGTTCTGATTTGAGGCCCTTCCGTAGCTTATTTTTTTTATCCCTACGCTCACTACAATTCTACCTCACATAGTTGCCCAGCTTCAGAATATTATTTATTTAAACGGCCTTATTGTTATTGTTTGGCCTTTCGCCCAGCTTATTGGATGTTATTCGATGGTTTTGAATTCGTTGGATATCAAGCTACATCTCGTAGCGTTAGGCATGCAGTACTTTCCTGGTTGTTTTTACTATGCTAAACAAACAGATCTTCACATAAATATTCTCTGGTAAATATAATCATTTCACAATTCACTGACACTGTTCCTAATGCTCTGATTACAATAGGCAAAATGTCGATCTTTTGGCAGTTAGATATTCTTTTGATTTCGTAATTTAAGTCTGTATAATTCACAAGTTTCTCTGTTGCAGATGCACGATTAGGAGCAGTCCTACACTCAACTCAATAGGACACCTGCCGGGCGAAATACTCATCATTGTTTCCGGTTTCATTTACGCCGTTACTTGAACATCTATTCGTTTCCATTTACACTCTTTTATTATTATTATTATTAGCAGTAGAACCCGGCGTTGCCCGGGGATGTAACAGTAAGAGATAGATCAAGTATTGACCGAAGACTGAAAAATAAAATTGACAAAGATTATTGTTTAAGGTTGACGGACACGCATGTCGTAATTAGTTTTTTTTTTTTTGTTTTTTTGTTTTTTACGAATTGGTCAAACCCAAACTCAAACAAAAACATTGTTTTCAATCGTTATGAGTCTACCGATTGAATAGAATTTTATTATAAACAATTGTCTTGTAAATGGAATTTTTAAAGCATTCTGAATGTAAAAATAAAGAAAAAAGTGTGGAAGACAATAAGAAACACTACCTGTCAAAAAAAAGTGAAGTTTTGTTGAAATCGGTTGAAAAATAAACGAACACACACACACACACACACACACACACACAAACAACCTGGGTTTTATAATAAGTATAACTCGATATGAGTTATCCCCCTTTCATTCTCGTGATGCTTCTTAATCGTGTTTTCAAATTGATTTCGTGCAAAATCAATTGTGTTTTTCCCGTTTTTGGCGCTGTCAGAACCACCGCAAGGTAATTTTACGTAGTCCTGTGAAGTTTTGTTGAAATCGGTTGAAAAATGTAGGAAATCTGATCCAATATATAAACGAACAGACACACACACACACACACACACACACACACACACACGCACACACACACAACCTGGGTTTTATAATAAGTATGATTAACAGGGCTGGTGCAAGGGTTTCGTGCAACCCCACCCAATCTATGATACGCCCCACCTCATTCTACTTACTACATCTCAATTTTCATAAGGCAATCTTCAAAATACACATTATATTGTAAAAATATTGAAAAATGTAGGAAATCCGATCCAATATATAAACGTACACACACAATCTGCGTTTTATAAGATTACAGTACCCTAACAGGAATTATTGTAACAAAATGACGGTGCTCTTTTTAAAACAATAAACATTGTCGAAGAGTGAAGGTAGTTAAAATAGTGTCATGAGAAAAACCGCTATTTTGACGCTCCATCTTAATGCAGGTACATTTATTTATGTTTACCGAGAATTCCTTACTTAAAAAAAGGGATCGGTAAGAAATCAATTAACCTCGTAAGATATTTTCTTTAAAGCATCAAGGTACCAAGACGAAAGGCAGTTTAAGGCGAAAATAAGAAAAAAATAAATAAAACTATTATTAAA